AGCAGCAGCAGCAGCAGCTCTTGGGCTCTGCAGGGTCAGGTCCCAGGGACCATTCCCGAGAGCTCTGATTGGGAACGGGTGGGATCAAGCTCTGCTCCAGGCTCTAGCTGAGGTGAAGGTAGGAATGAATTGTCAGACCAAGAGAGGCTTCCCCGGTCACTCCCCACACAACTGCCAGGGAAAAGCCTGGTAACCAGCTCACACCAAGAAAAAGCCCCTAAAACAACGTCCATGGCTGTAAAACGAGGTGATTTCAGCCACCCCTTAGGTCTGGCTGCCCATGAAGGACTCTCTGGAGCACCCACACAAACTCACCAGCCCTGGTGCTGCCATCTCCTGCAGGGCACTCACGTGTTGGCAATCCCAGCCCGGCTATTCCGGCTCTCTCCCAACAGCCATGGGAAGGAAGAGCTCCCCACCAGGCAGAACACACTGGAAAACTCTGACAAAAAGAATTTCCCTTATTCCCACCAAGCTGAACCATTTACCTGAGATGAAGCTGATGTGAGCAGAGTCTGTCCAAGCAGTGAGACACAGCAATTGTGCAGCTGCTTTGCTTCAGGCTGTTCCTTCCTGATTTGGGCTCTTCCTGCTCATCTACCAAGCAGGAACAATACTCTGATGGGGTGTCCAGATGAAGGATTTCAGCTGGTGATCAATTATTCACATCAAAGAGAGTTGGAAAAAAATGTTTCCATGGTGGGAAGGGTGGGGGGAAACAGGAGTGACAGCTAAAGGAAAGGACTGGAAGCAGTTTCAGGCCAGTTCAGCCTCCTGTGATCACAGAATGCCTGACTGAGCTTACTCAAGCACCTGTATCCATTGGAGGTGAGACCTGCAGCCTGATTTTTCAGGGAAGCAATCCTCAGCAGAACAGCAGGAGCTCCTGAGCTCTCTTTTCCCCAAAAATCATCCAGCTCAAAAGCCTGGAGCTGATCCTGTCCTGCTGGCACCAGGCTCAGGGGTTCAGTGCCTCTCCAGCCTCCACTGCAGCTGCTCCTGCTCCACAGCAGAACCTCTGGGCCCACGGGGAGGCCCTGGGCTGAGAAGAACTGGAGTTTCAGACCGCTCCTCCTGTACAGAGCTGGAGTCTGTGATCCCTCGGCTGCAGAGCCCAGATGTGGAGACCCCTCCTGAGCAGCCTCTGGGCCTCTCCCTCCCCCCCAGTGCTGCTTCCTTCAGGGATTGGCACAGCTGGACTCAGACTGTGGGATGGACTGGGCTGGATCCAGCTTTAAAGCTGATCTGGTCCTGTAACGGGCAGGGACGCAGTGGCCGAGAGCCCCACCCAGCCTGGCCCTGGCCACGCTCAGCCCCAGCGCTCAAGGAAGGTCCCGTGCCTGCCCCTGCCTTTTTGGGATGTTTTCCCTAAACACCAGAGCCCCCTGTGACAGGTGCCCCCAAACAGAGCTGCTCAGCGCTTTGTGCAGCCACTCCTGAAAGCTCAGGGCTGCCAAAGACAGCACCACAGCTGCTGTAGGCACAGCCTCACCAAATCCCTGCATCCCCAAATCCCAGCATCCCCAAATCCCTGCATCCCCAAATCCCAGCATCCCCAAATCCCAGCATCCCCAAATCCCAGCATCCCCAAATCCCTGCATCCCCAGATCCCAGCATCCCCAAATCCCAGCATCCCCAAATCCCTGCATCCCCAAATCCCAGCATCCCCAAATCCCAGCATCCCCAGATCCCAGCATCCCCAGATCCCAGCATCCCCAAATCCCTGCATCCCCAGATCCCTGCATCCCCAAATCCCAGCATCCCCAAATCCCAGCATCCCCAGATCCCAGCATCCCCAGATCCCAGCATCCCCAAATCCCTGCATCCCCAGATCCCTGCATCCCCAAATCCCAGCATCCCCAAATCCCAGCATCCCCAAATCCCAGCATCCCCAAATCCCTGCATCCCCAAATCCCTGCATCCCCAGATCCCAGCATCCCCAGATCCCAGCATCCCCAGATCCCAGCATCCCCAAATCCCAGCATCCCCAAATCCCAGCATCCCCAGATCCCAGCATCCACAAATCCCTGCATCCCCAAATCCCAGCATCCCCAAATCCCAGCTGCTGCAGGCACAGCATCCTGGCATCCAAATTCCCTTGCATTACGAAATCCCAGCTGCCACAGCCCCCCAGGATCCCAGCTGCAGAAACTCAGTATCCTGGCTCTGCTCCAGGTTGATCCATTCCAGCCCTGGGTGAGCTTCCCAGGCTCTGCTGCAGGACATCCCCAAGCTTGGCAGCAACCCCCACCAGAGGGAGACTCGGCTCAGAATTCCCTGCTGCAGTTTCTTTGAGATCATTCTGTCTAGATTTTGTTTTTTAAAAGGATTTCCTCCACACTTCTGCTGGATCCCAGTTGTGTGGAATTCCGGAGCACAGGCTCAGCTCGGTTCCTCTGATCAGCGCTCCCTCCCAGCACCACCAGTTCCTCCCTCTGCCAGGAGAGGAGCCCCCAAGGGTGACCCCCCGATCCCAAAGTGTCCCCTTGGCTCCATCCCAACCCCTTGGGTCCCATCCTGGAGGGAAACTGCTGCTCCTGCCCCAGAGATGGGACAGGGTCCTGACCCGAGTGTGGCTGCAGGGAGCTCGGGGCTGGGCAGGGCACCCACAGCACCTCTTCAGGTGGCAGCCCTGTCACACACACACACACAAGTGACGCCAGCTTTCTTTGTGTTTTTATCTCAACTCCCCAGACACCAGATCCCTGTCCCGCCCTGGAATGTCCTGGAATGTCCTTTACACACAGCTACAAAAATCCTGGGAGAGAGGGGGCAGGGCTGGTCCCTGGAGTAGAACTTGGCCAATTCCTTGGAACAAAGTTGGGCTGATTCCTCGGAGTGTGGATGAGCACTGGGATCACAGCTGGGCTGAGTCCCAGGATCCAAGCTTGGCCAAGCCCTGGGATCAGAGTTGGGCCCATGCCCCAGATCCAAGCCCAGCCACGGGATGCAGTTCATGCTGAGAGGTCACTGTTGTCAAACCTCTCCTGGTCGTAGACCTCGGCCACCACCTTCCTGCCCGCGAACCAGCGCCCGTTGAGCGCCTGGATGGCCTTGTGAGTCTCTGAGGCCATGGAGAATTCCACAAAGATCTTGACGATGATCTCGGCATCCTCCTCCTCCCCCTGCTTCTCCTGGTAGATGATGACCCTGTTGACAGCCCCGAACTTCCCGCACTCTTCCGTCACTTCTCCCTCCAGGTCGTCGTCGATGTCCTTGGGATCCACCATGTTCCGCAGCACCATCACCGTGGACTGCAGGGAAGGGACGGGGGAATTAACGCCTGGACACGCACAGGACACACCCGAGCACCCCAATCGCTCCATGGGACTGACGGCTCCGGTTCTCGGGGTAATTACTGACTTTCCAGGTCTGTTTGCTGCTGGCTGTGAGGGATTCCCTGGATCAGAATTCCCCTGGGTTGGGAATGCTGTCTGCCATCCCCTGGGCTTTCCTGGGATACACCTTGGGAGCACAATGAGCCTTGGGCACCGCTCTCATTTTCCCTGTGCTGCTGCCATCCAGGTAATGTTTGGCTTTTCCTCAGCAGTCCCTCAATTCCATCACAATTATCTTTATTTTCCTTTCCTCCCCTCCCAGTAAAGCTGAAGGCTTCCCCAGGTGTTCTGGGTGCTCCCAGCAGGACACACAGGTAGGTCACACACCTGCACCCAGCCCTTCCGTGACAGCCCCTTGGGATCTCACATCAGAAGGGACAGCTG